TGCTGGGTAGACACTAGATTAAAGGGGACAGACGTGGAAGGGAGAGGCCAGCAAGGAAGCTTTCCCTCCTGGATGAAACATAACAAAAAAGGAGGAAATGACTGATTCTGACAGACAAAACTGAGCACTTCCCTAAGGTTGTAACAGCCTATGCCAAGGAGACGTGATTCCTCCAACCCTCCCCTTTAAGGTTAAAATAGGAAAATGCAAACTCAATAGAAACCAGGAAGCAAAGGGACCTGGAGAGACCATGCCTGCTGGCTCAGCTCCTCATGTCTTTTACTCCAGTTTCCCCAGCCTTCCCTAGTTTGTACATTGTTCAAGAGAGCCCCAAGGAATGGAATGATCTGGAACCCTTTCTTCTTTCATTGGCTGAAACTCAGTTAAGCAAGCAGTTAATGGACACTATTAAAATACCAAATAGGTCGGGCATGGTGACTCATGCCTGTAATCTCAACACTTTAGGTAGCCAAGGTGCGTGGATTGCTTGAACTCAGGAGTTATTAAGACCAGTTCATGTAGAGAGACTCCATCTCTATCAAAAAAAAATTAAAAAAATTAAAAATTAGCCTGACATAGTGGTGTATGCCTGTGATCCCGGATACTTGGGAGGCTGAGGTGGGATGATCACTTGAGCCTGGGAGGTCAAGGCTGCAGTAAGCCAAGATTGTGCCACTGCACTCCAGCCTGGGTGACAGAGCATGACCTTGTCTCAAAACCAAAAGGAAACAAACAAAAAGCAAATAATAAAGCAGTTAGTATATATTCTGGAGTTATGAATATTGGGTGGCAGACAGAGCAAATATGAATGTCCTCATCATGGGAAGTAGAAATACGTGGGTGGCTGGCCTGGCTTTCCTGGTTAACTGTCTGGAAGAAGAAAGTCAATATACTACACTATATAGTTTTTAGCCTCTGCTAAACTTTCTCAGGTCACCTTTGATTCCTAGCTCATCACTCATGGTGGTAATAATGAGATATGGATACCGGAGAACAGCAAGAAACATAAACATAAAACAGCTCCAAGAAATGCCTTGTTAGTTTTGCCAACAAGTTGTGCGTTAAAAGGAGATAGGGAAGAAAGGCTGCAGGTCTGTTGAACATTTAGCAGTACAGTCCACCCTTGAACAACACAGGGGGGTTGGGATGCTGACCTCTAGAGTCAAAAATCCGTTTACAACTCTTGACTCCCCTAAAACCTACCAATAGTCTCTTGTTGACTGGAAGCCTTGCTAAGAACATAAATACTTGATTAACATATTTTGTATGTTATATGCATTAGGTACTCCATTCTTTCAACAAAATATGCTAAAGAAAAGAATGTTATTATACCAAGAAAATAATAAGGAAGATAAAATACATTTACTAATTAATCAAAAGTGAATCATCACAAAGGTCTTCATTCTCATTGTCTTCATGTTAAGTAGGCAGAGGAGGAGTAAGAGGATGTCTTGGTCTTGCTGTCTCCATGGAAGGGAAGACAGGTGAGGTAGATACACTTGTTTGAAAAAAAAAAAATCTGCGTGTAAGAGGACCTGCGTAGTTCAAACTCGTGTTGTTCAAGGGTCATCTGTACTTTATTCATTCAACAAATATTTATTGAGCAACTCTCTGTGCCAGGTACTAAGCTGAGCTGGTTTATCTTTGTTGACCCGGGGAAGAGAGGGACCAGCAAGCAGGCAGCTAGCAGCCGGTATGAAGTGCACTTTGATGTGCACTGCGAGCACACAAGGGGCTCCCTTACCCCGACTCCCACAGTTCCTCTGAAGAAATGATGTCAAAACTGAAACCTGAAGGATGAGGACAGATAAGGCAGGAGAGGATAGTACTTTTAGGGATCTGGAAGTAGCCCAGTAGGCCTGGAGAGTGTATAGTTTATCCCAGTATTTTTCACTTGAACTGGATTCATTAATTCCCAGGCTTTAGCAATGTATCATCGGTTATCCTTAAGTGAAACATTGTATTTTTTAGTGTCTTTTAAGTAAAAGTGAGCTCATTTGGTAGTATGTTTAGTTAATGGGTCTGCTATCACCATTCCCTACCAAAGCTGGGTTAGTAATTCTAAAGCCTACAAAATCTGTGGCATAAATCAAACATTTTTGAAACCTGCTACACTGAAAGGAAGGAGAATGAGTGGTTGAGAGTCCCAAGGGAATATGATTCCATATGTGGTTTGAGCAAATTTACATAACTTCTCTTTATTTCAGGTTGTCAAATCTGTAAAATGGAACTTAACCCTCATCATTTGCTCCTTAAGTTATGGGAATAATATCTGGCACATACGAAAGCACACCTTTTTTTTTTTTTTTGGTAAGAAAGACTTGGAATAATCTACCTGAGGCATGTATGACCATTGGAGCACCAGTGGGACACCATTTCCTGATGAGGTCAAAGCACATTGCAGACTTTGTCTACTGCAGTCTGTTTTGAGGCAGTTAATGTAGTAACCTGAGGTGGGTAAGAAAATGTGCATTCTGGAGACAGCATGAATTCAATGTAAGGTGTTCGATATACAGGTAAGGGAGGAGGGAAGGGCAAAAAAAAAAAAAAAAAAAAACAATTCCAGGGCCCTGGCCTCTGGGATGACAGGCTTCCCAACACTCATGCCAGGACTATTTTCCTCCTAGGTTCACTATGGGTTTTTGCTTTGAATATGTGAGTTTGTAAATTGTGTGTTTGCTGTCTTAAGTTATTTCAGAAAGAGTTGAAGGGAGGAGAGGTGTGTTTGCTGTGCTGGTGATTCTAGCACTCTCTTCAGCCTGATTTCTAGTTTGTGTGGTGCATCCAGACAGCCCACTCAGGTGCCCAGGCTCTTTCTGGTGTCCAGAGCTAACCCATGCAGGGCAGGAGGGCAAAGGTTAGGAGGAGCTAATCTTTGCCCCTTGCAATGAACAACAATCAAAACGGGTTTTAAGATTCTCACACCCAATTGCTAACTTCAGCTGATCCTCTAGAGGGTGACAAGTAGAAGGGCAACATGGTTTTGGGGGCAGTCCTGGGGTGCCGGTCTCTGCTTTTCTAGGGTAGAAAGGAATCATGCATTGAAAATGCTTAAATCAGTGGAATGATTTTCTGTTCCTCTTTCTGGTCTGCCTGCTTTTCCTGCCAGCCCTTCACTGTGACAACCACCACTCCTATACCTCTGTCTCTAGGGATCTCCCAGAAAGGAGAAGTGGAAAGAAAAGAGAGAAGAGTTCAGTCTCTGGTGCCCAAGCCATTGTGCAAAAAAAAAAAAAAAAAAAAAGGCAAAAATTTTGGTTTACCCAAAAAATGAGGACATTATTAAATATTACAAAGATTTAATGAAAGTTCAGGCCTGGTCTTGATTGTTTTCCCCCAACAAACAAAGATAGGATTTAGAGGGGACCTGGAAAGAAAAAGTCTCTCCCCAGGTTGTACTAATGGCTCATCTTGGAATGTGCTGTTTACACTCATATAATCTTCAGAGTCAGGTATTGGATGGTGAGATATTTTCGATTCTATTCTCTAGTCACTGATTATTTCTATGCTCCCATTTTATAGATGGCATAACTGAGGCACAGAGAAGACAAAGTCACAGAGCTGCTTAGCGCATAGAGCCAGGATTCAGACTCCAGAGCCATGCTCCTAACCATGGTACACTGCCTCTTGGTTTCACTTTACAATGGATGAGGAGCCTGAGACTCAGAATTTACCTGCCCAGTGTATTCAATTCACTTTTGACATAACCTCAACCAATTTTCAAACTCCAAGTCAGCATTGTATTGAATACTTCCAAAGCCTAGAGTCCAAAATTCGGTGAGAAGAGTAATGTACAGAAGGAGGTGGTGGTGCTTAGATATAACTAAGGTAAACATGAAAACTTGAACTTCGAAATAGAAACTCCCTGTTGGCCTCCTGGCTATCTCACCCATGCTGTAGAATAGAAAGAAATCCTTTCATTTGCCATAGGATTTAGGAGAGAAAGCTTTTTCACTTCCATTCTATGTTCCAGGAAATAGAAGGCCAGATGGACAGGGCTTATTCTTAACAGCTGTTCAGTAATCCCATCCACTCTCAGCCAGGGCCTGTGCAGAGGAGGCACGGCCTTGTTTCTACCTTCTCCAGATTCCTGTTTGTGGGCCCACCAGTTGGATCTCAGCGGCTTAGAAAAATCCTTGAAGACAGAAATTGAAAATAAACCACTGGTACCCCACAAACTGAAATGATGACAGGACTTCAAAGCCGGATGCAGGGGACAGACAGACTGATGAGACATGGAGAGTACTGTCAGAGTGCTTAGAAATTCATGACCTGGCACTGTCCTAAGGAGAAGAAATGTGCCCGTTCCCATGCAGAACACATTGGCCGTGTAGAGCTTAAAATATTTCTCTGACTCCCTGGGAGTATGGAGGAAGAGAGTTATGGGAATGGTGTTAGGGACTGGGTGTGGGAGGGTGGATTTAAATGGACACACAAAAGGCTTGCCTCCCAGTGCAGTGGAATCTAAACAATCTGAAATAGCTCAAGCTCAAGACTTGGCATGTGCTTCTGAGCTGCCACCCACTGAACAGAGAGCAAGGGCTGTTACACTTGGAGATCACGCTCCTTAAAGTGAACTTGATAAGCAAGGTGGCAGAGGCTTGGTTTCAAACCATCTCGTTTGACAGTTTGTTTCCGTCAATCTAGTTTTTCCCTTGTTACCAAAACCAAATTATAGGGGAGTTTGTCTTCATAACAGTTAATATAACTTTCTTCATTTTTGCTTAGAAAATCTGGGTTTTCTGAGATTGGGAAATATGCTTTATAGCCTCACAGGAACATAGATAAAAAAGGAAGATGACGCTCGGTAGTGGATTCACCTTCGTAGGGCAGAGAACTTGTTAGGTGCAGGCTTAGAACTCTGCACTTAGCTGTGCTGCTTTGCTCCGGCTCCAGGGTTCATTTTCATGTGTTTTTGTTTGTTTGTTTGTTAGGATTCATTTGTGCTTCTGTCCATGAACACCATCATGCTCAGCTTCTTATTTTTCTATTTTTGACAGAGATGTGTGTGCAGACCCAGGCCATGCAGATACTGGTGACTCTAACTTCCTCAGCTCGGAACACCTCACCTCTGGCCCCCAGCACAGGAAAGCAGCGTGGTCAGGAGGGGTTAAACTTCGGCTGAAGCACAGGTAAGAGGCATGGAGGTCGGTGCTGAGCAGTTCAGAAAAAGAACTTGGTCAGAACAGCCACTGAGCTGCTGGGAGAGGAGTTGGGGGCAAGGGTGGTCAGAATACAGGTTGTTGAGAACAAGACAGGAGACAGAACAAGGAGGTGAGATAGAAGCTCAGAGTTTAGAAGGATGTTGATCTTATTAATGGCAGTTTCCACACAAGGTTCTAAAGAACTGTAAAGTTCCTGGGAGGTCATCCCAGGATCCCACAAATAGTTTGATATCATTTCAAAAACACGTTTATAATTATTTTTTAAAGTACAGTTTAAAACATTAAAAGTGATATGCTGATGTTTTACACTTTGGAAACAATCTGTGTGCCAGCTTGTACAGCAAGACAAATTTAAATGAACTGATCTGCATTTAAAACTTCTCTGAGCAATGTCCCAAGAGTACAATATAAGCCTAACAAAGATTACCCATGTGGGTCAGATTTTGAGAGTGAATAAACCTGAGTGCTTCCCATGTGCTAGGTGTCCTAGCTTTGCATGGGCTATCTCATTAAATTCTCACACCAGTGCCCTGTGACGTCTGCACTTGTAGAATAGCATTCAGCTAGGAGGCAGTGTATTCAAATTCACCCACTACACTTTATTACCTCAGCATCAGCACAACAGTGCCTGCTTCATAGGACAGCTATAGGATTCAACAAGATACAGTGTTTAAAGCACTCGGCACAGAGCCCACTCAGAACAAAAAATTAGATGTTAGGTGGTGGTATAATGCTGTTGTGGATATCATTATCTTGATCACTCTCATCATTATCACAGAAGTCTGTGTGATCTCATGACAGACAGTATGATACAGGGAGTAAGTATCCCTGTATCAGGGAGTAAGTATCCCTGTATCAGGGGTTTGTGCAGTCAGACTACCTAAAATTCAAGCCTACATTCTGTCACTTACTATAGACCCTCAGGTATATTATAGAAGCCCTCTCTACTTCCAACTGTAAAATAAGTTCACTGATCTGCCTTCTAGGGATGCTGAAAGGACTGAAAGAGCTGATCCTCGTTAAGCACTTAGGGCTATGCCTACTATGTCATGAGTGCAGCAAATGTTATAGTAACCAATTATCCCAATTTTAGTTTGGGAAGTTCATTCATATAGACATGTCAACTATATAGACATGTCAACTTGCATTAAAAATAAGTAGGCTGAGCTCAGTGGCTCATGCCTCTAAGCTCAGAAATTCAAGACCAGCCTGGACAACATGGCAAAATCCTGTCCCTACAAAAATAAAAATTAGCTGGGCATAGTGGCACACAAATGTGGTCACAACTACTCTGGAGGCTGAGGTGGAAGGATCGCTTGAACCCGGGAGGTCGAGGCTACAGTGAGCCATGATTAAGTCACTGCGCTGTAGCCTGGGAGACAGAGCTTCAAACAAACAAACATTATAATTTGGATTTACGCAAATCCAGATTTGCATATTTGGATTATCCATCTTCATGGATATATACAAATGTACATAAAATAATTTCTTAATTTTATATGACAAAAAAACACTTATATTAGGATGTTTACATTAAGGTTCTTTGTTAGATTTCATTTGGAAAAAAAAAAAAGATTTAAAAGAAGTTTGAAATTCTAAAGGTATAGGGAGGCCAACTGGCTAGTGTCTGAGAGTCAGGCCAGGAATAGGGTGAGATTTGTCAATACCTTTGGCTCAAGAGATCCAGCCAGCAAGGTTGCTCCCAGGGACAAATCTAAAAAGCAGAAGTTCCAAGGCTATCACTGTTTCCTTTAGCCTCCTAGAATCTTTAAAATGTAGAGAATCAAAATTTTCTCTTTAACAAGGAGGTGTCCATGGAGGCCAGCAGGCTAATCTAATATCAATACCAAAGTCCTCAAGGCCAGAAAGTAGTAGTTAGGGAGTTTCTGCTCCAGTCTGGAAGGAAAATGAGCAAGACCAGAACGAAATCAATGGTGGTGGGAAAAGAGATGACACAGATTTGGGATAAATTTAGGGAGGCAGAATAAATAGCAGATGAGGGTGGGATAAGGGAGAGAAAAACTAAAGAGTGACTGCCGAGTTTCTGGTACGAGGCACTCGAGGATATCTGTAGGGCCATTAGTCAGGACAGGGAAGGCAGGAATCTCAGAAACTGACTGGGAGTTAAGAACGTCAGCACTAGAATCACATAGACCTGGGTTCGAGCTAGAAACAATTAAAATATTTTATAAAGCAATCCTTGCCGGGCACGGTGGCTCAAGCCTGTAATCCCAGCACTTTGGGAGGCCGAGGCGGGTGGATCACAAGGTCAAGAGATCGAGACCATCCTGGTCAACATGGTGAAACCCCGTCTCTACTGAAAAATACAAAAAGTTAGCTGGGCATGGTGGTGTGTGCCTGTAATCCCAGCTACTCAGGAGGCTGAGGCAGGAGAATTGCCTGAGCCCAGGAGGCGGAGGTTGCGGTGAGCTGATATCGCGCCATTGCACTCCAGCCTGGGTAACAAGAGCAAAACTCCGTCTCAAAAAAAAAAAAAAAAAAAAAAAAAAGCAATCCTTGAAAGTTGAATGAAACAAACAAATACACATCTACTTGGTATCCTAATCATAAATAAATCATCTTGATAACAAGCTGGGGTTGTTTTCATACCGATGGCACTATGTCTGTATGGAGAACATAAGTGAGAAGCAATTTCCTTTATAAAAAGTCATGAGCTAGATGGTGCAGACATCACTCTTGCTCTTGGCTGGAATTTTTACTCTTCATACATTAAGAATTTTACATGTATGTATCATATCTCCACAAATACAGTCATGTATTGCTAATGACAGGGATATATTCTACGAAATGTGTCATTCGGCTTTTTTACTGTTGCTGAACATACTAGAGCAGGCGTCCCCAAACTTTTTACACAGGGGGCCAGTTCACTGTGCCTCAGACCGTTGGAGGGCCGCCACATACTGTGCTCCTCTCACTGACCACCAATGAAAGAGGTGCCCCTTCCTGAAGTGCGGCGGGGGGCCGGATAAATGGCCTCAGGGGGCCGCATGCGGCCCGCGGGCCATAGTTTGGGGATGCCTGTACTGGAGTGTTCCTACAGAAACCTAGATGGTGTGACCTACACACCTGGCCCATTTGGTATAGCCTAGACTGTAGTGGAGCTCCTAGACTGTGAACCTGAACAGCATGTTGCTATGCTGAATTCCCTGGGCAATTATAACACAATGGTAAGGATTTGCGTGTCTAAACATAGACAAAAATACCGTATAAAAGATAACATACACCTACATAGGGCACTCACCATGAAGAGAGCCTGCAGGACTGGCAGTTTTTCTGGGCAAGTCAGCGAGTAAGTGGTGAGTGAACGTGAAGGCCATTACTAGTGCGCTGCTTTACTGTACGCCGAGGCTATTCTCAATTTATTTAAAATGTTTTTCTTCAGTAACTAACATTAGCTTACTGTCATATTTTTACTTCATAAACTTTTAAATTTTAAAAAATATTTGACTCTTTTGTATTGACACTTAGCTTAAAACACAAATACATTAAATGGCTATGCAAATATTTTCTTTTTTTATGTCCTTACTCTAAAAGCTTTTTTTCATTGAGTTTTTTTTTAACTGTTAAACATTTGTGTTAAAACCTGAGACACAAAAACACACACTAGCCTATGCCTAACAGAGCAGGATCACCAGTGCCACTGTCTTTTGCCTCAGTGTCTTATCCCTCTGAAAGATCTTCAGGGGCAGTGCATGGAGCTGAACTCTCCTGGGATATCACTACCTTTTTTAGGAACACCTCCTGCAGAACCTGCCTGAAGCTATTTCACAGTTAATCTTTTTTTTTTGAGACGGTCTTGCTCTGTCGCCCAGGCTGGAGTGCAGTGACGTGATCTCGGCTCACTGCAACCTCTGCCTCCCAGGTTCAAGGGATTCTCCTGCCCCAGCCTCCCAAGTAGCTGCGACTATAGGTGCACACCATCATGCCTGGCCAATTTTTATATTTTTAGTGGAGACAGGGTTACACCATATTGGCCTGTCTGGTCTTGAACTCCTGACCTCATGATCTGTGCGCCTCGGCCTCCCAGAGTGCTTTGATTACAGGTGTGAGCCACTGCACCCGGCCGCTAACTTCTTTTTTTAATAAGTGGGAATACAGACTAAAATAATGATTAAAAGTATAATATAGTAAAGACATAAGCCAGTAATACACATTTTATGATAAAGTATTATGTACATGATTGTATGTACTGTACTTTTAGATGACTGGCAGTGCAGTAGGTTTGTTTATACCACCTTCAAAACCACGTGAGTGATGGCTATGACTAGGCCAGAGGAATTTTTCAGCTCCATTACAATCTTATGGAACTACCTTTATAATGTGCACTCCATTGTTGGCTGAAATGTCATTATGTGGCACATGACTGTAAATTGTAAGGCCTGTGTTACTGTACCTCCTAATTTTCCTGTTCCCCAGAAGTCTCTCTGCAGCTCGTGTTACTGATATGGGACTAACCTAGGAAATCGCGGAGTCGTTCTCATTCAGTTACACTTAGATCCTACATCCTGTTTGTTTTGCTTTTTACTTTTTGTTTTGAAATCATTGTAGACTCACAGAAAAGTTGTAAAAACAGTACAGAGATTTCCTGTACCTGTCACCCAGCATTCTTCAATGTTAACACCCTTTATAACCATAGTACAAATATCAAAACTAAGAAATCAGCACTGGTGTGATACTATTAGCTACAGACTTAACCTTATATAAACTATAAACTTTACTCAGATCTCACCATTTTTTCCCACTAATGTTGTGTTTTGTTCTGGGATCCCATACTGTGTTCCCTTAGTCTTCTCTGATCGCGATAGCTCCTCAGTCTTTCCTTGGCTTCTATAACCTTAACATTTTTGAAGGGCACTGGCCAGTTATTTTGTAGAATTCTTACTATTTGGGTGTATCTGATGTTTTCTCATGGTTACATTGAGGTTATGGCTTTTGACAATACCACA